CCCCAAAACCCCAAAACCCCAAAACCCCAAAACCCCTTAATGATTAAATTTATTTGAAAATTAATCAATTTTATGACCAAATATCAAGGCTATTTTTGAAAATTATTCAGAACTGAGACTCATCATATAAATCCATACAGATATGACATTGCACGGATAGGCATATACAAACACTGAGAGGACAAACTCTATGTTAGATCCTACGATTTCATGCATGCCTGTATTTCTGACTTCTTCCCAGAGAGCATCTAGGTTAGTGAAGGTAGTATTTATGGGGAAACCATAGATCTTCTTTCCTCTTACTACCTCATTCAAGTTCTGTGTTAAGACATCAAAGACATCCGATGTCTTCGTGGGCTTTCCCTCTCCTTTAAGCTTTTTAAAGGAAGAGACTGGCGGACAACATGTTTCTCTCTTAAGAGTCTCGAGCTCACGCATTGTCTCACGAAGAATATCAGAGCAACTATGATTCCAACGAGTGTAATGATTAATCCTCTCATCAGCAAATTTTCTGGAGATATAATTCTTAATATCATCTTCTAGATAGGCGAGGTTGATAGCTTCACCACCAGGATATTTTATTTTATCCTGAACTGTCAGTATCCCATCGAGTTCATTACTAAGATATTTAGCCTTGTTGTTCTTGTTGAAGAAAGGTCTCCAGTGCCTTTTATTTTCAAGATCAAACTCACAAAGAGAAGGATCTGTGTTCTTTTGCCTATTAGCCCAGATATTATCTTCTCCGATAATGCATCCGATAGACTTTAACTGGCAAGTGACATTCTGTTGGACAATGAAGTTCTCATCTTCTTCCTTGTTATTTTCAGACTTGTTTCTGAATCCTTTTGAAATTGGGAAACACCAACAGCAATAGTTAGTCTTCATTCCTCTCCCAAAGAAGTAAGCTTGGCCACGGATTGAGTCCCAGACCTCCACATGGTTATTCTCGAGATTTCTTCTCAAGACATAGGTTGTGTATCCCTCTGGAACTGCATTTCCAAGAATTAGGTAACTTTTGACTTTTCCTTCATTAAGGATTCCGTCGATATAGTTGAAGTAATTACAGAGCAGGATTGCATGCTCTTCGTAGTCACCTCCATTGAAGTCTAAGAACTCTTGGGACGTACACCAGACATCAGGTAGAAGGTCTATGGCTGTGTTGTCATTAATGAACGGGATTAATGACACAAATCTTGCAGCTTTTTGAATGGCAAATTTTTCATCCTCTATAGGTCCATTTGCAAGATCAATGAGATCTCTGGGAGGAGCCTGGGAGGCAAGGTATCTTCAAAGAAGGATACTCTTTCTTTCAACATTTTCACCGAATCATTTAACAATGATTGGAGGACCTTTCTTTCTGGCTCTGTATGTATTGGCCCAGAGAGCCCCTCCTCTAAGTAATTTAGCATCTTCTCCTCCTGGGTAAAAATCGAATTCATTCTCTGCAGGTAATTCAAGAAGAGGATCTATATTTATAGACACCGAGACGTAAGTTGGAAGTAAGTCAGTATCAATCTCTCCCTTAAAAATATTAGAGCTGAGCATTCCTGAAGGAAGCATTCCATATCCTTGAAGATTCAAAGGTCTATCAACTCTGATATGACCCTCTAGCTTTGGAGTATTTTGGAGAACACTCATTAATGGGACACTGAACGATCCAAGGAACTTGTTTTCAACTGTAATTTCGTGTTTATTAGTCAGAATAACTCTTTTCTCACTTTCATATTTGTCGAATATACTGAAGTACAAGGTGTCATCCCCATTTACAAGTTCTTCCTCAGTGAGTTTGGACCCATTAGCTGGGAGAATTTCAAAATTTAAAGTTTCATTCCAATCAGGGAAACTTCCGTTTCATTCTCTGGTTGATTTTGTTTGTGGTCTTTCTGAGTTCCTTCTACTGCTAACAAGTCTTACTTCGATGAAGACAGATCCTTGGATTAGTTTATTGAATCCAGTGAGCTCCATCTGGGCTTTCTGAAGAGCACCCATTCCTCCAACTGGACCTCTCGGCTGATTAATTCCTCCATAATGGCCTGGCTGATTGTCATAAGGATTCGCAACACTACCATAGCCAGAGTATGGCGGGGGTGTTCTATCTCTTTGGTTTCTTCCGTAGGGATCAGTTCCTCCAAGTCTTGGATCTCTGTCGTAATCTCTTCCTGTCTGATCCAATGGTCTTGCATAATTATCATAGCCTGTACGAGAGCGTCTATCATACTGGCCTCCAAGGTAAGAGTTATTAAGACCTCCGTAGGGATCATTCTGAGGGCCTCCTAGAGAGGGATTTGGAGCTCCAGCTCTTCCTGGTGCATTTCTAAGTCCAGGATTCTGATTGTTTTCGTTAATAGCTCTATTCATATTCTCTATAGCACGGATACTTTCGTTCCTGACAGGGATGTTGATCCCGCTCATGATCTGGACTCTAAGATTAGCCTTGCTACATTGACCTATTGAAATAGCTGGCTTTTCTGTGATCTTAGGCCTGAGTTTCCTTCTTGGTGCGAAAACCTTTGCAGCAAGCCCTGCACATGGATTTTTGGCATCAATTCCACCTTCTTCCTCAATGATGCTGTTATAGTTGATATTAGGCTTGTTTTTACCAGTCTTGATGTCTTTCTGAACTCTCTTAATTTTCTCCATGAACTTCTGCCTTCTCTCTAGAACATCCTTGCTCATATCTTGGAGCCTTTCAGTGCCTGAGTAGCTCTTAACCTCTTTCAGCATCTGGTCATAAGTCTGTTGAGCACCAAGCTTTGAAAATTTCTCAATCAGATATGAAAGAGTCGGGTCATTTACAACTTCTTGTTCTAACATGGGGATGTCAAGATTGACCAACTCATAGTGAGTATCTTGGTTAATCAACTGAATATGTCTGAATGGCTCCAAATCATGCAGTGGGTTCAAAGAATCTCTTTGGATTAATCTCCTCAAATTCTCATTATTTTCTTTCTGTGCCTTGACTAAGGACTTATACTTTGGGTCATTTACATCAATGATCTTAGATTTTGGAATTTCTGTATCTTCAGGATCTTCATTTTGATGTTCTTTTTCAAGTAAGATTCTGATAGCAGGGGGCATTCTGGAACCATCTTCTTTCCACTCAGTCTTGAAATAAAGAAGTCCTCTTACATCATGACCCTTCTTTAAATCTTCCACCATTTTAATGTACTTATTATTTGCAGGATTTGGAGGAGGCTTCTCAGCCTTTGGAGCAGCTGCTGCTGGAGCATTATTTGGCTCTGCTACAGCAGGCTCTTTATTTTCTTCTTTTTTCTCCTCTTCCTTCTTTTTGGTCCTTGTAAGATACTCTTCATATTTTTGTTGTTGCTCTTGAATTTTGAGCGGGTCAATTTTCCCATCTTTTACGAAAATATCGTACCTTTGCTGGGCTCTGTAATCTTGCTTGCTAAACTTGACCTCCTTACTGATCGCATAGGATGAAGTTAGGGATTCCACTTTGGTTCCAGGAATTTCTACTGGAATCCGACAGACCTCGTCCCCTTCCAGAATAATTCTTAGTTCTATAGATTTAGGCATTGTGTAGAGGAACAGTAAGAATCTTTCTCCGAATTCAGCTTCAAAGTTGGGCCAGGATACCTTTTCAGGATTTGTAGTATCAACCTTTTTGTCGTTTACGTAGAGTTCAATTTTAGCCTGAAGATTCTTAATCTGATTCCTTCTACTTTTTTCTTTTGGAGGCATTGATTTACCAGAAATTGTCTTCTTCTGAGGCTCAGTTCTGTTCAGGTAGAAAATAATTTCAGTTTTCCTATCTGGAAGTTTATGCTCTCTCGCCTTGAGTTCAACTGTTGTGCTCTGAAAATCATTGTCTTTCCTGATCTTCTGAATTTTAATCCATTTTTCATAGAGTGCAATACCGAGGTTCTTGACTTTCTTTTTCTCTTGATTCCTACGTTTCTTGATATCCTTAATAGTGGCTTTAAGAAACTTCACGTGATCTTCATCAACTTTTCGATTGTCTTCAGCTTTGTAAAGATCTTTTTGGAGTTCGTCAAGTCTGGATTTGTAGAATGGGATCATTCCGAGACCAACAACTCTTTCAAATTCTTCATGAAGCTCTTTTAATTTGATAGCTTCATGATCTTCATTAATGAAGAGTTTATGATCTCTTAGGATGATCTTTCCCAAAATTATTTCCAGTTTGAAATGCTTCTTCTTAAGAGAATTCAACCTTTCGCATAGAATTGCACTCCTGACCTTCAAACGATGAGGTTGCCTGTTTGTTAAATCAATTGGTTTTGTCAGTGTAGGGGTAACAATACCCTCTGTTGTGCCAATTTTATAAATTCCATCATTTTGAAGTTTGGATAAGAATCCAGAAGCTTCACTATCAGCTTGATTTTTAGTCCGCTCCATTACAAGCTCTGTCTTTTCAGGTAGATCCATAACTTGTTGCTCAAGAACGGCTCGATCTCGATGAGCTAACCAATAAGATCTTTCTCTTGAGTAAACTACTGATTTTGGAATGAGAGGAGCTTGCTCAACTTCTTCAAGGTCTTCAATTTCTTCTTCTTTGGCTTCTTCGTCCTTCTTTTCTTCTTCATTTTCCTTGTTTTCATCTTGTTGTTCATTTTCCTTCTTTTCTTCTTCTTCGAAATCTTCATCCTTCCTGTCTTCATCATGTTTGTGATCTTCATCGTCAGATCTTCCTTGTGGATCATCTTTGCTATCAGAGTAATCATTGTGGTCCCTGGAATCATCATCGTATTGATCATCATGGGAGTCGTCATTGTAGTCGCCAGATTCTTCATCGCTGTGTCCTCTCTGGCCGAGGCTTCGAGAATGACGACTCCGGCTGCGAGGAGAGGGGTCGTCTCTATCACGACTATTTGATGGATCGTCTTCATATCTATCGAAGCTGTCGCCATCTTCATTAATCCTTCCTCTTGGAGGACTTCTGCCATCATCCATTATACAAATTTAAATTTCTATTTTTAGCGCCTAGATTGGGGTTTTGGGGTTTTGGGGTTTTGGGGTTTTGGGG